GTCCAAGGCCTGCCATCAAGGGCCAAGCCCTAGCGGACTTTGTGACGGAATGCACCGCAAGGGCAACCACGGACGGGGAGCCCTCGGCTACCTCGGACGACTGGTGGACCCTCTACACTGACGGCTCATCCGCGACCAAAGCATGCGGGGGAGGGGTAGTCCTCATTACTCCCGAGGGCTTCAGGGCCTACTATGCAATCCGCTTCTCCCTCAAGGTCTCCAACAATGAGGCCGAATATGAGGCCCTCCTATGTGGCCTTCGGCTGGCTGCCAACATGAGGGCTCGGCAGATCCACATCAAATGCGACTCCAAGTTGGTCGTTGGCCAAATCTCCGAAGAATATGAAGCTAAGGAGGGAAGAATGAAACAGTACAAGGAGGCGGCCAAGGAGTTGCTTAAGGTATTTGAGGCGCACTCTCTCACCCAAATACCGAGGGCTCAGAACTCCGAGGCCGACATATTATCTAAGCTCTCGGCAGACTCCCCCGAGCACATCTCCAAAATTGCCAAAATCGAGGAACTCAGCCTCTCAAGCATCCATGCAAGCCCCGTGATGAACATATAACAACGTCAGGAGGATTGGATCTCAGATATCACCGCCTTCATCTCCACAGGGCAGCTACCCGGGAATGAGGCCCGCGCTAAACTGGCAAAGCTGAGGGCTCCCAGCTACACCATCGAAGATGGGAGGCTCTACAAACGATCTTACAATGGCACGCTACTTCGGTGCCTTCATCCAGATGAAGCCGAGGTCGCAATGGAGGAAGTGCACAGCGGCACTTGCTCAGCTCACCAGGGACCCTTCTCCATGTCCCGAAGGCTCATTCTCCAGGGTTACTTCTGGCCAACCATGGCCAGGGATTGTGCTGATCTTGCCCGGAGGTGCACCGCGTGTCAACATTTCCAGAAAGCCCCCGGCAGGCCAGCGGTCAACTATGCCCCCATCAGCACATCTGTCCCTTTTTCTCGATGGGGGATAGACCTTGTGGGCCCTCTGCCGAGGGGTACCTCCAACAACAGGTACATCATTGTGGCCGTCGATTACTTCACCAAATGGGTGGAGGCTGAACCCCTCGCCAGCATCACGGAGGCAAAATGCCGCCACTTCGTCCTCAAGAACATCCTCACAAGGTTTGGCGTCCCCCAGCAGATCATCTCCGACAATGGGACACAATTTGAGGCAGCCCCCTTCTGTGCCCTTCTGGAGGCATGGGGCATCAAACACACCTTCTCCTCCGTTGCCTACCCTCAAGGCAACGGGCAAGTAGAGAACGCCAACCGGACCTTGCTCGAGGGCCTCAAAAAGAAGCTGGAGGCCGAGGGCGGTGGCTGGGTAGAAGAACTTCACAACATCCTCTGGGCCTACCGCACTACCCCTCGGCGCGCTACAGGTGAAACACCCTTCTCCCTCTGCTACGGTTTTGAAGCCAAAGCTCCTACGGAAGTCACCCTTCCCACCCGAAGGGTGATCCAATATGACCCCGAGGTCAACGACAGCAACATGGCCCTCGACCTGCACCTCATTTCAGAACGCCGGGAGCAGGCCTTCATCCGGGCAGAAAACTACCGAAGGCAAGTTAAAAGCTACATCGACGCCAAAGTTCGGACCCGGGAATTTCAAGTGGGGGACTATGTCCTCCGGAGGAGGGAAGCCAGCCAACCAACCGAGGGAGGAAAAATGGCACCAAAATTCGAAGGCCCCTACATCATAGCAGCCATCATCAAACCCGGGACTTACAAACTCAAACGCCCCAACGGGAAAGAGGTCCCTAGGCACTGGAATGTACACCATTTAGTTAAATTTTATCAATGATGTAAGAGCGGCCAAGCCCTCATAACTAGTGAATGTACTATCCAATGGCCCAAGGCCTCCAATTTCGAAGAATGAAGATACATTCAAGACATCAGCCCTCATACTGACTACAGGACCCAGGCCTCACCAAGAGAAGAACCCCCTCCGGCACCAAGTGCCGAGGGCGGACACCATCAACACCTACAACAAACAGTGAAAACACCACGTGTTTTCAGTCAAGACCCCTCGGTACCAAGTACCGCGGGAGGGAACTCCTATCACCAACAACAAGGAACACCACGTATTTCATTTCCCTTCGGCACCCAGTGCCGAGGGTACATCCCCACCTTCAACATCAAAAAAAAAAAAAAGAAAAGATTAGAACACCAAGTGTTCCTACAGAAGACCCTTCGGCACCCTGTGCCGAGGGTACACCTCCATCATCAAACATCGAAGCGAAGGAAAAACACCAAGTGTTTTCAAAGAAGACCCCTCGGAACCCAGTGCCAGGGATATGCTCTCCTAACAGCTTCCAGACATCTATTGGGAAACACCAAGTGTTTCATTTGAAGACCCTTCGGTACCAAGTACCGAGGGTAGACGCCTACATCAACTACAGCAAAAGAGAACACCAAGTGTTCCTACAGAAGACCCCTCGGTACCAAGTACCGGGGGCTACACATCGAAACTAACACCAAGTGTTGTTTCTAAAAGCCGTACCCCACGAGGACGCATATACCGAAGGCGCCACCATCGGTGCCGGCGGCACGTAGTGCCCCCGGCCATTTGCAACTAGTGTGCAAATGAAAACCCTTCCTTGAAACGCTTTCCGTGTCACTACCCCCAGGGTATGACAGGCATGAGAAATGCCCAGGATTCGACTTTCAAAAACGGAACGCTATCCGCGTCATTACCCCCAGGGTATGACAGGCATGAGAAATGCCCAGGATTCGACTTCCAAACCGAAACGCTCCCCGCGCCACCACCCCAAGGGTGTGGCAGGCCACAGACTATGTCTAGCGCCGAGGGGACGACTTTCAAAAATGAGGCGCTTTCCGCGCCATCCCCCAAGGGGAGGCAGGTTACGGACCACCATATCTTGTGCCCAGGAAACGTCCCTCGATCCCCTCGGCACTCGGAAGGTTAACCCGAGGGAGGAGAGCCATTAGTGTATTCTGATGGTCTCCTAATAGGCCCAGCCTTACCAAGAAACCAAGTTTCTTGATGCCTTCCCTTCACCACCAACCAAAAAAAAAAATATATATATATATAAAGGGGGTGAAGGGGAGTAGACTCAGCGAGAAATCAAAGAGTACACTCCAACAAAATCACAACACGCCGAGGGCTCCCCACGGGAACACCTCCGGTAATTGAAGATTCCTATTTCCCGAAGGATACTACTCAAAGAAATATCATCAGGAAACGGCTAAAGTCCACTACCTGGCCACCTCCGGTCACAAAAACATCGAAGGCTTCATCAATACAAAGGGACTGGACTGTCCAAGGTCCACTAAAGAGTACCTCGAACAAACACCGAAGGCATCTGTTATGCACGAATACCGAGGGCCCTTTCCCCATGACAAGGGTCAAATTCTACAACTTTTAAAGTGTATGCCGAGGGCACACACTCCTCGTTGGCTTTCTTCACAACAACAGGATTCAACATCAATTTATGCTTAGAAAAATCCTAAGTCCTGAAGGAGCAGCCCCCGGGCACCCGAAGGCTACACAGGGAAGCAGCACTACAAAAAAATTCTAAGTCCTAAAGATTGGGCCCCCGGCCCAATCAATATTAAAGCCAAGGGGATATGGTGGCCGAAGGCCATGCAATACAACAACACTTAAAAAAAGAGGGTATTCTGTCCTAAATGAGTAGCCCCCGGGGCATCTCGCAAAGTGATGCGGAATCAAGGAGGGATGCCATCTACCGAAGGCTCCCAAGGGGGATTTTACACTTGGAACATTTTCTAAGTCCTACATGTATTTCCCCCCGGTCAACTACTCTTACAACAACACTTAAAAAAAGAGGGTATTCTGTCCTAAATGAGTAGCCCCCGGGGCATCTCGCAAAGTGATGTGGAATCAAGGAGGGATGCCATCTACTGAAGGCTCCCAAGGGGGATTTTACACTTAGAGTATTTTCTAAGTCCTACATGTATTTCCCCCCCGGTCAACTACTCTTACATCAAGGAGGGATGCCATCTACCGAAGGCTCCCAAGGGGGATTTTACACTTGGAACATTTTCTAAGTCCTACATGTATTTCCCCCCCGGTCAACTACTCTTACATCAAGGAGGGATGCCATCTACCGAAGGCTCCCAAGGGAGACTTTACACTTAGAATATTTTCTAAGTCCTACATGCTTTCCCCCCGGTCAGCTAGTCATACATCATGGAGGTATGCCACCTCCCGAAGGCTCCCGAGGGAAACTCTACACTTAGAAGATTTCCTAAGTCCTACGTATTTCACCCTCATCTAAAGGGACCTAATAGCCGAAGGCTACCTATCAATCGAGGGCTACAGTTCACAAGGAATCAACACTCAAGAAAATATTCTAAGTCCTAAAAGAATTAGCCTCCGGCCAATTCAACTTACAGGTGGGGCTCCACAGTAGCCGAAGGCTACATGGCATACTACACTTGCAAAAAATCTCTAAATCCTGTGCATTGGGCCACCGGTCCAACATTCACACATCAGGAATAGGAGCCGTATCCCGAAGGCTCTCAAGGGGGAACCCACACTTAGAAATTTTTCTAAGTCCTAGAAATTGGGTTACTGCAAACCCGAAGGCCCTATGGTGAGCTACAATCAGAAAACATTCTAAGTCCTTAAACATACATTCCAAGGATCAAAACATACATCCAAATCAAGACGAAGGCATGCATTCAACAACAGACAAATCCAAAAGAAGCAGATTGCATATCAAAGGCCCGAGGGCGTGTGTACTCATTCATTCAAAAAAAAAGAGACAAGTTTGATTGTACTTTACATAGGGGGCCGAGGCCAACAAATTACAACACCGAAAGGGGGGAATACAATTTAAGAGGGGGGAATAGTAGATATCGCCTCGCTCTCGGCTTCATCCTCTTCACCGCCAAGGCCGCACTCCCGGAGGGTCTCCGAGTCTTCAAGAACCGGTCTCTCTTCCCCCTCGGGGAGCGGGATCCTTACATTTGGCTGGCGGGGGGGAGGCCATAAGCCTCGGGACGGAACTCCTCCGGTGCCACCTGGAAGTGCTTCGCAAGCTTCCGGTAGATGAGGCGTTGGGTGAAGAACTCCCCGCCTTGGTAGTACGAGTCGCCCCTCTCAGCAAGCCACATCTTCCCGGGGCCCCCGACCCACTCATCTACTGAAGCCCCCACCACCGAAGCCAGCCACTCCCTCCGGTCTTCGGCCTTCCACCCCTCGGCCACGAAGCTGGCCACCGCATCCTCTCGAGCCTTGGAGACGGCCTCTTCTTGAGCCGCGCGGGCTTCATCGGCAGCGATACGGGCGGCCTCGGCGGCGGCCTCCCCGGCCCTGGCTAGCCCCTCATTGACCCCTTCGGCCCTTGCTGCCTGCAACCTCTGCTCCATGCCGTCGGTGGCCAGCCGTAGAGAGTCCTCGGCTTCGGCGAGTTTCTTCCTGAGGAGGGCAGCCTCCCCCTCGACGGCACCCTTGGCCTCCCTCATTTGATCCACCCTTCGGAGGTGCTCGCAGAGGCCCATGAAAGCCTGCAATTCACGAAGGCAAAAATAAGGCATAAGGAACAAAGTACGGAAGAAAAACATAGCAATAAGCAGGGAAGAGAGGGGGACTTACGGAGGCGGCATTCAGGAGGACCTTCGCCTCGAGGGGTCCCTCGTCTAGCCGGGTAAGGGCCAGCCGGTCGGCCGACGGCAGCATCTGGCTCATCAAAGCCGAAGGGTTCAAACTGCCCTCCAGCACGGAGGCCCCCTTCGGCACTATCGCCTCCAACCTCTCCCGCCCGAAGAACTCCTGATTGATTTGTTCCTGGGGGGTGGAGGCAGAGGCGTGCCCTTCGTCAACAATCACCACCACATCGGTGATCGGTTGTTTGGTAGGGGCGGCGGTCTTCGGCTTCTTGGCCGGGGGCTCGGCCCCCTTTCCAGCAACCTTCTTTTTAAAGGGCCCGGAACCCTTGGACCCTCCGGCGCCAGCAGCAGCGCCAACAGTTTGAGAGGGCCCCTCCCTAGAAGGAGCGCCCGCCGGGGCCTTCTTCTTTCCTTTCGCGTTTTTTAAAGCGAAGAGGGAACCAACGTTCATATTGCTACCTGCAAGCAACAAAAAAAAACAGAAGGGTTAAATCGAAGGCTACCAGTCACTACGTCATAAAAAAAACAGGCGGAATGCGAAAGAACTATCAACGCATCAGTAAACATTTCGGTGGTCACCTCCGGCGCCTTCGAAGACCCTATCGAGGGGAGGGTATCTCTCATCCGAGGAGCCCCTCGGCCTGAACTGCCGGAAGCCTAGGTTAAGCAGATCCTCCGGAAGGGTGACTTCTCTGATCTTGACATGCTTGTCAGACCCCTCCGGCTTCTTGGCAAGCACTTTGCCGTTCTTCTCCAAAGCTGCGCTCCCCACCTTCGGGTGGCGCCGGAAGCTATTACGGAGCTGGGCCGGGAAGGGATTCTCCTCGAGGCGGATATAACAGAACCTCTCTTTCCACCCCTTGTGAGACGAGGGCACATCATCGAAAAGCCGGAACTCCGGTACCTGCTGAAGGTTGGCAAAGCCCTCAGCATTTGAATGTCCCCCCCGGCAAAGGTTGAAGGACATGAAGAATTGGTCGAGTGTGGGCTCGACCCCCCGGCTCTGACACAAGGAAAGGAAGCCGGCCACGTAGGAGTGGCTGTTGGGCGTTAGCTGGCAAGGGGCCAACCCCACAAATCTCAGGTACTCCAAGAGGAAAGGATGGAGCGGGAACCGAAGCCCCATTTCCACCGAGAGGGTGTGAGCAGCAAAGCACCCCTCGTGCGCGTATCGCAGCAAGTCATCGGCCCTGGGCTCCACCACGCGCGCTGAAGGCCCAACCAGCATCTGGGTGGACTGGTATTCTGCCGGGGACGCCTTCGTCTTCAGCTCTAGGGCAGCAGTGTTAAAAAACGAATGGCCCTCGGGTATGCCCACCGGCCGCCCGGCATCCACTGCCGCTTGCTTCTTCCTCGGGGCCGCCTTCGTCTTGTTTTTCTTCCCGGGAGCCACACTTATTGGTGTCGGGTCCAATGGCCGGGAGGAGCTGGTTTCCCCGGCACCCCGGGGGGGAGGAATGGCAACCGTCACCTTCAGCCGCTCCCTCTCCTCTTCCTGTTCGGCGGTTTGCACGGCAAGGGCAAGCTCCTCATCCTTGTTCTCTTGCTCGAAGCCCTCGGCTTCGACTTCGGCCTGGAGGTCCTTCTCCACTTCCATAGCCACTGCGGCATCACCGGCTGCCGAGGACTCCACACTCGAAGACTCCACATCTGAGCATGTCACCATCTCTACCGAAGGCTCCCCCGAAATATCCTGGGAATCACTCTGGGACGACATGCTGACTCTGGTTCGAAGGCTCGCGGACACTATTGTTTTCTAAATTTTCTATCTCCTAAACTAAGGGCACAGTACAGCTATGCTAGAAGGAGAAAGGCAGGGAGCACTGACCTCGAAAGCTGAGTTTTGACCGAAGGCTGAACTTTCTCTCTCTAGAAAAATTGACAGAGCTTCGCTAACAAGTTTATCGCACACGGAGCACTGCCTGGCCTTGGGGTATTTATAGGCGATGAATCCGGGCTTGGGCCTGGATTCCGGGCCTCCGGATGGACGCCATCATTACTCACCGCGTCTACGCCCAACCGGTGACGCCGCCCACGGACAGCCAGCCATCACACGCCACGTGTGCCCCCCCCCCCCCAACGGCTATATCCCGTCGTTACATATTCCAACGGCTATATTTCGAACGGCTATATTTTGGAAGCCCCCGGGTTTTCTACTTCACTCCACTTCATCAAGGATAGCCTCCGGGTGCACTCACCCAGAAGTGCCCCCGGGGTGTGCCCCACACAGTACATTACACACGCCTTCGGGATCACCCCTTCAGATCCCTAGGGCTGCATATCAGGGCACCCCTCGGGGTTTCCCCCTCAGCACTGCAAAACTGGGTAGCCCCCGGGGAGTTTCCTCATTGACGGATGGCCCCTGGCACACAGGTAACGGGGAGCCCTCGGGTATCTTCATCACCACTTCATCAACAAACAGTGGACCCCCCGGTAACAGCTTCACTGCTGCCCGCATCTGCAGGCCCTCGATCGCTGGATTGAGGGGCTCCCCTTCGGCGCCACCAGGACATCAACATCCAGCCTTCGGCTAATCAACACAGGAGCCCTCAAAAGAGAGAGCCTTCGGGATTCCCGTCATTCTCCATTTTTTACCAAGGTTTGATATTTTCGATTCATCATTGGGGGAATTCGGTGCACTCTTTTTCCCTCATTAGGATTTTTTCCCAAAGGGTTTTTCCTAATGAGGTTTTTAACGAGGCATCCCCCCAAAATGAAACGAAAAACGTCAGCCTTCGGCAAACAACAGCAACATAACTACTTTACTCCTTTTCACCACTTTACAAGTGCCTCAAGGAGTGGGGGACTGGAGGACCCCTTCGGGAAAATCATTAAATTACAAAATCTGCGAAATTCCAACAAACAACAAAGCAAGCCCTCAAGTCCCGACATGTGGGTAACTGAGGGACTGCCTTCGGCAGGGACATAAAAGCAACAACTCCTCACCAACTTCGGAGATCACAACAGGACAACATCAAAAGGCAAGCACAAATTACTCCTTTTCCCTCAAGTACCTTTCGGCAAAAGGAGTGAGGGACTCCTGATGGAGTATATGGCCCGGGAACCCCCGGCCCACAGACTCCTACTACTCCATCGAAGGCCCAACAGGCCTAACAGGCCCAAATCACAGCGCCCAGAGTACCAAGCAGCCCGCACTACGCGCCAGGGGTGCCTTCGGCCCCCTGGCCGAAGGGTCTAAAACTCTCACAGAACGGGTTTCTCAAGCAAACTAAGAAACTGGGAGAAAATGGCGAAAACAGTAGCCCTCGGTACTGTGAGCCCTCGGCGCCAAGGTGCCCTCGGTTGGGGGAGCCTTCGGCTACTGCTCTATGGCCGAAGGCATCTCACTCGACAAGATATCCGCCTCACATGCGTACAGATCACCGTACTCTGCACAGACGTCCCATCCAACAGCCGCATTAAATGCGGCCACATGCGGCTGCCAGCGCCAACCAGTTGAGGCGACCCCTCGGCCAATGAGCGCTTGACACGTGTCCCTGCCCGGCATTTATTGCTACTATAAATAGCCCCCCTTTTCCCCATTTGTAACCAAGTCGGAACACGCTGAAAACACTCCACATTTATAATACTCTCTCTCTCTACGTTTACCTGCTCTGACTTCTCTCTAAATTATTCCCCGTAATAACCCTTCGGATATATACCCCCGGGTAGACTATCCATCAGTGCCACTACGGCCGCCAAGGACCCCAGGGACGAGGTCATCGCCCAACTGGAGAGGAGGTTGGCCCAGATGGAGGCCAAGCATTCGGCAGCCATTCCTACGGCCAACACGTCCAGGGATCCTGGTTTCAATGTGTTCCTGCATAAGGTCAGCGCCCTGGAAAGGGAGTTAGCCGAGGGGAGGGGTGAGCCCATCATCCAGGTCAGGACCAAAACTCCCTTCACCATGAGGTTACACTCGGGTCCTATTTCCGAGAAGTACAGGGGAAATGCCATCAAGCCCTATGACGGCCGCCCCGACCCCCAAGAGCACTTCAGCCGCTATCAGAACAACATGTTGATGGTGAATGCGTCTGATGAATACCTCTGCCGTTGGTTCCTTTCCACTCTTGAAGGACTAGTGTATGAGTGGTTCAAAGCGCTCCCCGAAGGAAGCATAAACTTATAGCATGATCTTACCCAACGCTTCCTCACCCACTTTGCTGGGAGGAAGCGTGCAAATTAAAGAAATACTTCACCCATCTCCTCTATGTCATGCAGCAGCATGATGAATCACTCCGGTCATTCATCAACCGGTGGACGAAGGAGACCGACGAGGTCAAAGCGGCCGATGAGCGCACCCTCCTCGTCCTTTCTCAGGGAGCCCTCCGCAACACCCCGTATGCAAGAAGTCTCATCACCGACCCTCCGAGGTCATACACGAAGGCGCTCCAGCGGGGGAACTTATACGCTGATGTTTACGAGCTTCCCAACCACAAGAAGGACGGAGGGAACCCCTCCAAGAAGACAAACATTGCACAGGCTCTAGGCACACCCTCGGCCGAGGACCGAGGTCAAGGAGGACAGAGCCGCCACGGGTCTGGCAGACAAAACAAGAACGATCGCCCATGGCGGCCGAGGATGGAAAGGCCAAGGACCGCCCTCACACACTCGGTCAGCTCCATCCTCGATTATGCCGAGGAGCATGACCTCATAGAGAGGGACCCTCGGTCGGTAAAGGAAATCTACGTCGTCCATCAAGGGGGTACCTACTGCCGTTACCACAAGAACACCTCCCATAACACCAACGATTGCGTCACGCTGAAGAGAGCCATCGAGAAGCTGATTCCCCAGGGGGAACTCTCCCAATTTGTTAAAGGTGGCCCATGCAAAAATACGTGGGTAAACACCGACAAAAATAAGGGCGAACCCTCTACGAAGAAGAGTGAGATCGGCAACTCAGCAATGACGACAAAGATTTCGAGGAGCCCCCTCCGAAGAAGAACCACATCCACCTCATTGTGAGGGGCAACACTAGGGGGACTCGGCCACCAAGAGGAAGAAATTGGCCCAATCCCTTTACATTGGGGAGGTGTCCCACGCTCCCCCTGACCGAAGGAGCAGCGGACGGAGGTGTAACACTTGAGATTAATTTAAATGGATTGATAGTACTACTCATACCAACAAGGTGCATCTCCTTTTAAGGGAGCTCATTAGCCAAGAACTCCAAAGTTAAGCGTGCTTGTACGGGAGTAGTCTTGGGATGGGTGACCCCCTAGGAAGTTTCTCAGGGCGCGCACGAGTGAGGACAAAGTGCGCGGAAAAGGCTAGTGGCGGTTTGTGAGGATAGTACTATAGGTCCGGAGGGAGGTCAGAAGTAACTA